GCGTTTCTCGTAGTGTATATTCCAAGGATTCAGTTATAAAATTTTCAAAGAAGGTTAGAAACTAACGTCGAATTTGCTACGAGAATGCGACTGTTGTCTGCGTTGGCCTTTGTCCCAACAGAAGATGTGGTAGACGCATTTGAGGTTCTTAGCGGTAGCGATGATAACATATCTGAAAAAGCACAACGCTTGATTTATTACTTCGAGGACTGCTGGACTGGACGTCCGCATGGGACATCGATAGCCCCGCTTCTCCCGAGAAATGTGGAACTGCCACGAAGTACCGTCCTCCAAAGAAAAACAATTCAATTGAAGGGTGGCATCGTTAATTCGAAATGCAAATATTCCGCTGAGACTTTTCAGAGTGGTTGCGAATTATGACAGAAGTAATGTTTTAGAGTTTTTGAGAGGGTATGGCACATAATATAAATTACCAATTAGGTATTGCGTGTAAATAATGTTTCAGAAGTTTTTTTCAATTAAACTATTTCAACGAATTCTGTTTTATTCGAAATTTAGAGGTACATATATCATTATCATTTTCAGGCAAATTAATTCAAAATCAGCAGATTTCAATTTTATTGAAATATTGACAATGCTTTATGCTATGAAATAAATTAAGTTTTTTTACGTTTTATAGTTTTTAATAAATAAATCATCGGCGATCAATTGTAGAGTCGGTGAAATTTCCGTTCGACGAATTGCTGATCGGTGAATTTTCCGCCGGTGAACTTTCCTAGGTCCATGCTTCGCATGTGCTCAAATACTACAGAGCCTTGACCTGCTTAACCCGCAATTAGAATCTAGAAGCAATGGGGTTGTCCTTTCTTGTTTACCCGGTGTAAACATTTGGGTGAGTCATTTTTTAGGTTAATTAGTTTTAAACTGTTTGACTTAAAACCTGAAGAAAGTCGTCAAATTTGGCCAATTCTCCATTACTCTCATCTTGTTACTTGACGTGGTCGTAAAAAAATCGTTGCACTAATTATGCAGTCCCGTCATTTTGCAAAAAATGCTGGGAGTCACAGTTGCTGTACAATGTCGGCAGAATCTGTACATCCATGAAACGAACTCATCGATCAAAAATGCTGCAGCGTTAGATGCTTTCGGCCCCATAAATCCAATCACGCGCAGATCAACAACGAAACAAATTAACAACATAAACTAGCTATTAAACACACACACATACTTCTTGCTTCAGGCGTTCAAGTTTTTTCCGCAGCATTGCCTGATGACGTTCGCGAAGTCGCGCGCGCGCCATGTGGGCCTTCAGCTGCCCGAGCAATGTTTCCCAATAGCCGACATCGATTCCTTCTTCGCCGCATCTGATCTTTCGCATAATTTGCCGTTCAAGCAGGTTCAGCTGTTCCCTGCTTTTGCCTTTTAAAATTATCGAAATGTCGTCTCTGACAGTCGCATGAATGCCCTCGCGTCGATCTTCCATAAACATTACATCTAAAATACGACTGACATACAATCCAGCAAACACAGTGAGAAAAAAATTCAGAATGAGCGTCAGTATGAAAAATATCTCTAAAACTCTGTTGGTGGCCGATCCCTGTTCGATAAAAATACGCCAGGGTAAAAGTTACCTTTCTATCAGAACCATGCTTTAAACCTCGAAAATCAGTCATCATGAGCACCGAACTGGAGACACTGCAGTGTAGCATTTATATAAAGAATTTGAAACGAATCTGAATTTGAAAACATGGATTTCGTTACAAGAAATTAAAATGGTCTTTAAAATTGGTTCAAATACAGTCTTTAGTACAGGTGTAGTTTTTGTTATAATGATTAAGGCATGTATTGATAACATCACTGCAATGTAGAAAATTAGTCATGAGGCATTGCAATCTTTCAACAATAACATGCCAAAGATCGCCGCAAGTCAACTTTAACATCCCTGTCAAGACAACATAGAACTGTGCTATAGCGTGACACTATTGAGTGCTTGACAATACACCGCTAAGACAGCCACGCAGGTCAGTAATATATTCCGAAACAGTCGGCTAAAGAGACGTTGGTGACCAAGATAAAGCACACTTCATGGCAAT